AAATATTATTACATACAACATACAAGATTTAAAACTGCCTAAAATTGTGAATCTGATACCATTCTAGCATTATAAAGGTCACAGCCAATCTTTCTCTTGATTTAGATTCTATAAGATATCACCTTTTCATAGACACCAAGATTATGGATCTAGGCCCTACAGTTGATGAGCTATTACTGATTTACTTTGGGTAAGTAATTTCAGGCAGAAATAACCCTGAAATAGCTCAGGTCCAGGTCCAAGTGGTTAAGCATCATCTTGCCGCTGGCATTGTTTGCGAGAACAATGCTAGTAATAATATATATATATATTTTTTTGGAATAGTTGCATCTTGAAGATGATATCTGTTGATGTTCAGACTTTCTATATGATAGATCAATCCGTAAAAGCACCATTTTTTACAGATAAAAATTATTGTATAGCTCTCATGCTAAATTGAAAAGTTTGGAAATCTTTTAAAGAGTGAGGCTTGTGTGAAATTAACTGTGACAGCGCAATGGAATAAAGAAATAAGAGCAAAGTTCCCCCAAAATAGAACAGATTATTAATTGATGTCTAATTCAATTTGGAAAAAAAAATTCTAAAATATGTGTAAGCGTAGCAACACAACCTTTCCCCTCCAAACACAACCATCTTCTTTTTTCTCCATGTGTCTCAATGGACTACTTTATTTGCTGTAAACAATGGGCACACACAAACACACGTGTGCTTAAATAATTTATTCTGTTTAACTTATTTGCCATAGCTCCTCATGCCACAAACTGTCTGTCTTTCTCGTGTTGTTTCAGAAATACACTCAACAACATGAGAGGCACTAAAGTACACTTTAGGTGGCCACTTCTGCAGACAGCACAGGGGGGAGATAACAAAGGGAGCTGAAGGAGTCAATAAAGAGGCCTGGAATAGCAGGAGGACATCACTGAGAGAGGTAAACAACCCTGAAAGAAAGCAGAGAAGAAAGGGGGACTTTCTTTTTTCTCATGTTGCAAGGCATGGCTTCTAAGCCTTTGTTCAGAGTCCGGGTTAATTCAAATTCAACTATCCTTTACAGAGGGTCTTTGTATGAAATACATTCTTCATAGAATAGACCCTGAATAATGGTCCCAGGAATTTTTCATCTACTTTATTATTTTTCTGCTTTTCTTTCTACTTTTCACAATTAATGTCCAAATACACTCATATACACTTCTTTACTGACTGGTATCACATTGCTTAATAAGATAAACAAAATATCACTGTGGCTGAAAACCAGCAAAATATTGTGTAATGTATTCTGTATTACGTTTCAGTCTTGTGCCACCCATCCATGGCCCTTTTCCTGCATAAAAAAGCACACTTTTCCCATGGTAGTATTGGATGTACTTCATGAGGTGCAAAATCATACAAATTAATTCCATATTCTGGATTTTGGGAAGCTGAACAGTCATATCTTCAAGTGATGAATCCAGCTTCATGAAAGACCACATGTTGGAGAGTAGGAAGGACACAGCTGCTGAGAGACATGCAGACAGACTGTCATTTACATGCTTCATTAGATTAAGGCTCAACATGTCAAGCATGCTATAATGATGGATGTAAAACAGTTTTTGCTTATTAACATTATAAACACCAGTTGAACTAGCAGTGCAAAACTTGGTTACAAAGACATGGTTACAAAGTATGGATCATTTTCCATGTTATTCACAAATTTTGAGTGTGTATAACAAATGCTACAACTATATACTCCAAATAATGAGCAAATATTAACCAATCAGAGAGAAGTATTCCATGCATCCAACATCCATGCCCTCAGACCAGGAGGAGCGAGAACAATGGGTATTAGAGAGTCAATGGCTTTTTACTGCAATCCTCTGACTGAACTCAAGGGTTTCTTTTGGAAATCATGTGTCTGACAGTGTTATGAATGCACTGATTGCAATAACTCTGGCCCATTCCAAGATATTATTTTAAGGTCTTGGGTGCTAAATCTCATTTCAACTGACTTAGATTTCCCTCATCAAAGAACTACAGACAGCTAAATCAAACGCTACATCTTTTTTAGAAACTTAATTCCATGGGCTCTATTTTTGTGAACGCTGGGGATGCGGCGAGCCAGTTTGGTATTTTCGTGGACTGAGGCACACCGAGACCCGCCAAGCTGGGTGTGGTGGCGTGGCAGGGGGAGGTGTCGACAGAATCAGCAGGCGCAGTGACATTTTCGTGCTCGCCACCGGTGTGTAAAGTGCGCTGAAATCTTCAAACCTGGTCAGCTTTCAGCGCAGGCGGAGCGCAGCTGGTCTAGTAGTATTTTGGTAGACCGGCGGCGTATCGGCATACGTCACTGATGCCTCACCGGCAGGTTTCCACAGTGTCAGACACATTAGACACACAACCTGACTGAATCAACACAGCTGAAACCACAATAAATTAAATTAAATATCTAGTAAATAGACACTCATGATGAAGTTAACAAGATATGTAATTTGTCTCCCTCCTTTTCTTTCTTCCTCTTCCTCTTATTTCTCGCGCGGCTCGACCTGGTCATGTCTCCATGTCCTCTCCCCGTCCTGAGCAAGGCCATGGAGCGCGATGTGTCATTTACGCACAGATGGTTCCGAGTTTAATGCCATTTTTGGAATTTATGATGTGATTTCTGCACACAACCCACCTTTGTCACGTGAGGTTTGAATATGTGCAACTTTATGTAAGTGTCTTTATTTTTGGAAAGGGTGTTTGTCTTACCAGTGGGTCCAACATTACACACACCAAATCCATCTGTGCTCATATGACACAGTGTGGAGGACGCCCTTTGAAGCGTTTACAGTGACACTTGTTGAGGAGCTGCCTTCTGTCACCATCGTGTGGCATTACTGTCTTCAGACATCTCCTGATCTCTTTGACTACTTCACGAAAATAGTAATATGCCTCGCCGGTGGCGGATTAAAAGGCGAGGAGAGGAGCTGATGTTATTGGTCAATACAGGTCTCGGCTGTGTTAAACCCACTCCACGCCCTCTCTCTTCCCTCCCTACGACATACGCCGCTGGGAGGAGCTGAATTAGGGAGGGGGGATTCTTACGCTGGGCTGCGCCACTCACTAAAATACCAATTTAATATTCAGTATAGAGACCACATTCTAGGGTGGTTTAAACAGCCATTGTTGGCTCTCTTATTGAATCTATGAATCAAAACTCAGCAACTAATGCTGACGAATCAACCAGCTGCTTTCTCTCTGGCTGCTGAAGGAATTTTAACCCCCCCCATCACTTTGAATGGCACTACAGTGCTGCTGCAAAGAGTTTATAAGACTTTTTTGACATTAATAAAATAGACTGGGATTCATATTGAATAAGAATAAGAAGAACTTTATTAATCCCTGAAGGGAAATTCAATTGCCTTTGTATGATATTCAAAGCTATTGTTCTGGGAGATGGTCTTTGTTCATCCTTCTGTAGGCCAATGCTTTTTCACTTGGCTGCTAATGGGTTTTAGTGCCCCTGGTATGAAATTTAAGGCATGTGTATGATAACGCTGATTAGAGATCAACACCTGAGACTGAAAGTTAACCAGCTCTCGATCCATACACTTCTTGAAAACTTCAAGGTTGGATTTTAGTCATTCCTCTTGTGAATGTAATATACACAGTATAGCTTTGACTATTTCTGCTCTATTTTACCAAATGTTGCCAGCCATACATAAAAATCCAAAGTAACCAGAACAAGAAACAATGAAATAATAATAATAATAATAATAATAATAATAATAATAATAATAATAATAATAACAAAAGTTTTATAGAAAACCGTCAAAAACAAAGATAGTCCATGCAGTGAAAGGCGTAGCTCGTATTATGACACACACACACACACACACACACACACACACACACACACATACAGTATATATATATATATATATATATTTATATTTATAATCTCTCTCTATAGCTCATTTAAATGTAAAGGTCCCAATCTTCAGCTGTCAGTCATTACTTGATTTCTGTGCATATTTATTTTCATTTGATCGCTGAGAGATTGAACAGAAGCATGTCAAGCCAAAAATATTAACATTTATCCCTCTAGAAAGCATACCAATTCAAAATCAAAATTCCATTTGGAGCACAAAAGCTGCCATGAAGGGTTTAAAGGAGTTTTTTTTTATTTATTTATTTTATTTTATTTTCCAGTGACAAATAAATAATATATAAATAAAAGAAAAAAACATAATGTCTGTCCCTGGTCTCCTCCTTGTGAATTTTCTTTCCTTCATTCTGCCACTTCTCGTCTTTTTGTGCACCTCTCCTCTCTGTGGGAAATGTGTGCTTAAGATGTGTCTCTTGTTGCCATGCTGTCTCGCTTGGTAACAAAAGGGATGGTTTGAATTGGCTGACAGGTCATGAAAATTTCATCAGCATGAGAAATGCCTGTTTTTCCCTCAACTTTCTGTTTACTGCTATCAATAATTTGTGACCAACAAACAGCAGATGTCTCACCCGCTAACAAAAGGTCTGCATGTGTATGTGTGTCTCTGTTTGTTTATGAGTGTATATGGACATACGTGTTTGTGCATCAGTGTGTGTCTCATGTAAAATGAGTGTAAGTGTGTATGGATGTTTGTGTGTATGGAACAGATGTTGCTCACTCCTTGAAGGAGACAAGGATGGACTTTGAACATGGGAGCTAATTGTGAATTAATCAATCTATCGCCATGGAGGCGGAGGAGAAAAAGACTATGAAACCAATGCCAGACAGAGCCACACTCTACTCTGACTGTTGAGATAGCTGGGATGACAGAACTTGTCAAAGCACCTGGCTTCATTGTCTATCAAACAGGATCGAATTGAAATATTTGTCCAATAAATGTCTACTGGAGATAACTACCAAAATAATGACTAAATATTTTGTTCTTACCAACATTGGTCTTAACCTGCATAAAATCAGCTTGAACTACACTTTTCTCAAATTGTGTCTGCAGGGGGAAATATTCACCACAGGCCAAAAGTTTGGAAGCAAGGCCATTACAGGCCGAACAGTTGGGAGTTTGGGAGTTTTTATTCACAATGCTTTTGCTTTAACTCCAGCATGAGTTTTATGTATTTTGGGATGTATTTACTCCATGATCGGATGTCGCTTTCATGGAAATGCACCATTTTACTTCATTTACCTTTAGATATACATTGATGTTAAAAGACCGTTGCTAAATATATGTCAGCAAAAGATAATAAGGGCTTAGTTTTAGGGTTGAAAACATTTGCAAGAGTCACAACTTCAGTGCAAAAGCAAAAAAAAAATCACAATTGGATTATTCACTTCAACTTTTTGGCTTTTGAGAGTCTTCATACAAAAATCCCAATAAATATCAACTGCGTTGAAACTACTGCAAAAATGGCTAGAAAGAAGCAACTGAGTAAAGAAACAAAAGTACTGATTTGTACATTGAGGAAAGAAGGATACACAGAAAGAGAAATTGCAAAACTCCTAAAGGTGTTTAACAAAGGAGTCCACTACACTCTGAAGAGACTAGAGGAACCTGGAAGTTATGATGATAACTTCCAGTGTGAATTTTTGTATGTTGTCTCACTCCCATCTCCTCTGTTTTCCACAGTGTCTCCAGCCCACACAACAGCCAGCCAGCAAACCTGACTTTCATCGTGTCTTTTCCCCTTGAGTTTGGACATTAAACTTACATCTTTAATTTGCTATCTGCCTCTGTGTCTGCTTCTGGGTCCTCAAAATACACCACACGCCACAGAATACTCAGGAAAATGGACCCAGCAGACCCAGACAGGTTCCAGCAAGCCGTCCACAAGCTCGGGGCTCGCCTCGGTCAGCATGAGGATATGCTCCAGGGCCTCAATCAGTCCTTCCAAGGTCTCTCAGTCCAAGTAGAGCAACTGGCGGATCAACTCCTCTCTCGGCTTCCACCGCAGCAATCTGGGTCTCCCCCCTCTGTGAGTACGGTTCCCTCTCCACCCTCTCTTAACATCAAAGAGCCCTATGTCCCTCCTCTTGAGCTGTATACTGGGGAGATTGGGGGTTGCAGAGGTTTCCTGCTCTGCTGTGCGTTAGTGTTTGATCAATAGCCAATTAGTTATCCCTCGGATCAGTCCAAGATAGCCTACACCGTGAACCTGTTAAGAGGCAAAACCGCTAAGTGGGCAACTGCCATTTGGGAGAAGGATTCACCGATGTTGTCCTCATACGCCAGATTCACTGAGGAACTTCGCAAGGTGTTTGAATATCCTGTCAAGGGTCCCGAATATACTAAGCGGTTGTTTTCCCTCACCCAGGGCTCTCGGTCTGTGACGGAATTCTCTATTGAGTTCCGCACAGTGGCGGCCAAGAGTGGGTGGAGGAAACTAGAGTTATAGGGTGTATTCTCTTGTGGTCTGTCTGAACAGCTAAAAGATGAACTAGCTGCTTGTGACGCACCCTCCTCACTTGAGAAGCTAATCGCTTAAGCCATATGTTTAGACAATCGCCTCAGGGAGAGAGGGAGGGAAAAGAAATTAAATTCCCCTACCCGTAGCGTAGACTCCCCATCCTCTGTCGCGGTCAGCGGGTCTCCTCTGCAGCCCTCAGTTCATCCGGATCCGGCGCCCTCTGCCAGGGAACCCATGCAAATCGGCCGCACCAAATTACACCCCAGTGAATGGCAACAACGGATGGAGCAGAAGCTCTGTGTCTATTGTGGCCAGGCCGGCCACTTTCTGCCCAACTGTCCTAACAAGTTAAATGGCCAGGCTCATCAGTGACAGAGAGCACCCCAATGAGCCACACCTCCTCTGTCCCCAGCTCTCCCAGACGTATCTCCATACCTGCTTGCCTCCTGTGGGGAAAAGAATCTACGTCTCTCCAAACCCTGATTGACTCCGGGGCAGACGACAACTTAATTCACGCCGGACTAGCAGCGCGGCTTCAGCTCCCCCTTGAGGCACTCCCGGTTCCCCGTAAGGTCACCGCTCTCAATGGCAGGGTTATGGCTACCATAACCCACTGCACTACTCCTCTCACCCTCATCCTTTCAGGAAACCATCGGGGGGACATCCGGTTGTTCCTGCTCCCCTCTCCGCATTCACCCTTAGTGCTTGGACTCCCGTGGCTGCAGATCCGCCTGGAGTACTCACTGTCATTCTCACTGCCTCCGCTCCGCCAATCCCTTCATCCAGCGACAGAGGTCAGCACCCCCACCACCATCTCTCGCCTCAGTCCCCCCGGTTTACCATGATCTGGCCATGGTTTTTAGCAAAGAACAATCTCTCGTCCTTCCTCCTCATCGCCCCTATGACTGTGACATAGATTTGCTCCCTGGCGCTCCTCTCCCCAGCAGCAGACTGTACAATCTCTCTCGGCCCGAACAAGAAGCCATGGAAGAATACATCCAGGATTATCTGACATCTGGACTCATCCAGCCCTCATCCTCCCCCCTTGCTGCTGGTTTTTTCTTTGTAAAAAAAAAAGATTCCTCTCCCTCTCCGTCTCTCCGTCCCTGCATCGACTTCCGTGGACTCAACGAAATCACCATAAAGAACAAATATCCCCTGACACTGATCGATCCATCCTTTGAACCTCTCTGAAACGCCACCGTCTTCTCTAAACTGGACCTCCAGAATGCCTATCACCTGGTTCGCATCAGAGAGGGCAACGAGTGGAAGACGGCCTTCAATACACCCATGGGCCACTTTGAGTACCTCGTCATGCCCTTTGGCCTCTCCAATGCCCCTGCTGTGTTCCAGGCTCTCATCAATGACATCCTCCGCGACATGATCATCAAATTCCCCTTCATTTATCTGGACAACATTCTGATCTTCTCCTGCAACATGGAAGAACACCAGCAACATGTTTGACTCGTCCTCCAGCGCCTACTTGAGAACCGTCTCTTCGTCAAACCTGAGAAGTGCGAGTTCCACGCCTCCTCCGTCAGCTTCCTGGGATACATCATCACCCAGGGGGAGCTACGCCCAGACCCGGAGAAAGTCCGCGCTGTCCGTGACTGGCCCACTCCCTCCTCCTGCAAAGACCTCCAGCGATTCCTCGGCTTCGCAAACTATTACAGGAGATTCATCTGGAACTACAGCAAGGTGGCTGTGCCTCTCACCCATCTCACATCCCTCAAAGTCCCGTTCTCCAGAAGCAGACGCCACCTTCCGTCAACTCAAGTCCCTCTTTATCTCTGCCCCGGTGCTCAAACACCCGGATCCCTCTCTCCAATTTGTGGTGGAGGTCAAACTTCGGACTCTGGACTGGGGGCCGTCCTCTCACAGAGGGATTCTGAGACCCAGAAGCTCCATCCTGGCGCCTAATTCTCCCGGAAACTCTCACCCACCGAGCGCAATTACGACGTGGGAAACCGTGAGTTGCTGGCTGTTGTGTGGGCACTCCAAGAATGGAGACACTGGCTGGAAGGAGCACAACACCCCTTCCTCATCTGGACTGACCACAAAAACCTGCAATATCTCCATTCTGCTCGACGCCTCAACTCCAGGCAAGCCTGCTGGTCCGTCTTCCTCAGCAGATTCTGCTTCACCCTCTCCTATCATCCCGGCTCCCGCAACCTCAAACCTGACGGGCTATCTTGGATACACTCCTCAGCTACCTCAGACCCCAGAGAATCGGACACCATCCTCCCTGCCTCCTGTATCCTCGGCTCTGACTCTTGGGAGATCGACACCGTGGTGGACAAGGCCCTCCGGAAACACCCGGACCCTGGAACCGGCCCTCCTGATGGAAGGTTCGTCCCTGAGGTTGCACGTTCCCAGGTCCTACAGTGGGGGCACTCCTCTAAACTCACCTGCCACCCCGGATTTCAACGCACCCTCCAATTCCTTCAGCAGTGGATCTGGTGGCCGGGGATGGTCCAGGATGCACGGGCGTTTGTTGCTGCCTACTCCATCTGTGCCCGAGGCAAAGCTTTCCATCAACCTCCGGCTGGCTTGCTGCGTCCTCTGCCTGTGCCCTCACGCCCCTGGTCTCACATAGCTCTAGATTTCGTCACTGGTCTTCCCCCTTCTGAAGGTAACACAGTCATACTCCCCTTCATAGACAGATTTTCCAAATGTGTGCATTATGTCCCGTTACCCAAGCTCCCGTCTGCTCCAGAAACTGCTAATCTCCTAGTGTCTCATGTATTCCAACTTCATGGTATCCCCATGGACATAGTGTCAGATCATGGTCCCCAGTTCTCCTCCCAGGTCTGGTAAGCTTTCTGCCAGCCAGTGGGCGCGGCAACTAGCCTCTCCTCGGGCTACCACCTGCAGACCAACGGCCAGACGGAGCGGCCAAATAAAAACCTTGAGTCAGCTTTGCGGTGTGTGGTGGCCCATCATCCAGCATCCTGGAGTACTCACCTCCCGTGGATCCAGTACGCCCATAACTCCCTCACCTCCTTGGCCACAGGTATGTCTCCCTTCATGTGCTGTTTTGGATACCAGCCCCCCCTGTTTCCCGAACAGGAGCACCCGGTCAGTGAGGGAGCACATTGGGCGTCTACAAGAGGTGTGGAGATCCGCCAGGGCCGCACTCACCCGCACGGCTGAGTGCAACAAACCCCTGGCTGATGTTCACCGCTCTCCAGCACCAGACTATCGCCCCGGTCAGATGGTCTGGTTATCGTCCCATGACCTTCCCCTACAGACCGAGTCCCGCAAGCTGTCCCCCCGCTTCATCGGTACCTTCACGATCCAGAAAATGATCAACCCATCATCGGTATGACTGAAACTTCCCTCATCCCTCAAAATTCACCCCACGTTTCATGTCTCCCTGATAAAGCCTGTCACCTCGTGTACCCTGAGCCCTCCCTCCGTCACCCCTCCACCCCCCTGGATGATTGACGACCACCCTGCCTTTACTGTGGGACGAATCCTGGACGTGCGGCCTCAGGGCCGAGGCTTCCAATACCTGGTGGACTGGGAGGGTTATGGGTCAGAGGAGCGGTCCTGGATCTCCCGCTCCCTCATCCTGGACCATCAACTCATCGACAACTTCTACGCCGCTCACCCCAACAAACCCGGCAGAATGCCAAGAGGCGTTCGTTGAGAGGGGGGTACTGTGGTGAGACGCCGCCACCTCTTGCTTTATTTTGGTTGGACTTCCTCTTTTTCGTGGTTTCCCTGTTCTGGCTTGACTCTTTTTCAGAGCACCCCACCCTCCCCGGTCACTGGGGCTGAGTAAGACTCCACACCTGCACTGCATGTACAATCAAGGCCCTTTAAGAAGCCAGCAGTCCTCAGTCTTAGCGCCTGAGTATTGTCTTCACTCCTGAGTGGTACAGACGCGTCTTCTGGCCTTCTTTTCGGATAAGTGCTTGTGACTTTTTGCTCCCTGTGAATTTTTGTATGTTGTTTCACTCCCATCTCCTCTGTTTTTCCACATTGTCTCCAGCCCACACAACAGCCAGCCAGCAAACCAGACTTTCATCGTGTCTTTTCCCCTTGAGTTTGGACAACTTACATCTTTAATTTGCTATCTGCCTCTGTGTCTGCTTCTGGGTCCTCAAAATACACCACATGCCACAATAAGGTCATTGAATAATCTGAATGTTAGCATATAGAATCCATTATTAATCATGATAAAGTTCATTCACATGTATTTACTCTTTTGTCATTCACAGTTTCTATGTTACCGTCTGTTTCATTTCAGAGTAATTTAGCATGTTTAATGTGATACTTGAAACATAATGAGAATGTTTGATGTAGTTCTACATTTCATTCATATGTGTTTAGTATCAAATCACTTATTATGAAGCCAAGTATTCAATGATATTAATCATAGTGAGTGAGTATCAGATCTCACTCTTGTACCTGCCAAAAGTATAAGTTAGATCAAATAATCAAGGAGCTGCACCAACAACCTCTCCTCTCTCTCGCTCTCCTGACACACACTCCCCCCAGAGACACTCCTAGTGGAAAGGAGATAAAACCAGTAAAGTTGGGGTGCTCACTCTTGCTTTCTCTTAGACCCTTACTACTTAGTCTTACTTTTCCTTAGTCTTCTAAGTTTTCTGCCACTTTTTCATTCACATAGTTTGATTTTCTTTAACATTGTCTTAGTCCAAGTTTTAAAACTTCAACTTTTTGTGCGCATAGCAATACAAGATTAAGCCTTTAATTGATTTTTAACTAATTTTGTAAAGTCGTTTTTTAAATTGTTTCGACTGGCCATCAAGCCTACTTTTTATTTGCGTGATTTCAAAGTCACCTCCGAATGCCACACAGTAGGACCAAAGTCATCCTCTGTGCCAGAATTTTGAGTGAGACCAAAGGAGCATCCAAAGGACACATTAGGCACTGGCCCATCCTTAGGCTGACTTCAGTCGTCTTCTGAGCCGAACCTCTCAAACTGCCAGTAGCCCCGGACCTTCGGAACCTGCTCCATCTTCTCCAAGGACCAGTCTCACTTAAGTATGCAAACCTCCAGAGCTCCAAAGAGGGCTGATGCTGTCTCATGTGTTCAGAATTCAAATATTCACTTACTCGAGTGATCCTAAATTCATCCACATCCAAATTTATCTCTATACCAAAGTTAATGTAGGTTAATATGTACGAGAGTATTCACTCACTATCATTAACTTTAGTGCTCCTAGCCTGACTCAGAATCGTTTATTCATCCATTATTGTTTATCCTCATTATCTTATCCTCATTTATTGCATGTACTGTATGTTGTACCATCATTTATCCTGTAAAAAACAGATCAAGTTCTTGTCTGTTAGTGTTCTTCCAGAGGTGGAGTCCCTGAAATGAGAATTTCAGCTTGAGATATGAGATTGATTAATTTAAGATTGACTTAATGTTTGATTTCTGAATTAAACTTTTGTTTTTCTTTATTTTCCCACCATTAAGGGTGAGTGGTGCCCTTTTCAACGAGTGCATAAATGTCATAATTTAAGATTATTAATCTTCAGACATTTATTACAAATTTAAATCACTACACTGTTAAAATATGAAACAAACACAAAGGTTCTTTAACTGAAGCCGGTGCTAATACCCTGAGGGCTTTGTCCACCAGCTGAGGCTCCAGAGAGCTTGAACCAACCATATTGAAATAGTAAAAGAATAAGAATAAAAATTATTTAAAAAAAAAATTGTCTTGTGCTTCAGCTAAACAAACACTGATAGCCATGGGATACAGCTCTGAGCAGAAATTGCAGCATGCTGGGGTAAAATGAATGGCTTAAGCAGCATTATCTATCCTGCTTTTGATATTTCACTAAGTGCTCCAGGGGGGCGTGTAAGGCAAAAGGCTGTGAACCAGCAGATTTAAAGTTGTACTTCTACAAACATTTCTTCGAGGCAGTGCTGTTTTTTCAAGCTGAAATAATCTCATTGGTTGAGTTTAACTCCCAGTGGGTGTAGTAGGCTAGAAAAAGGAGCTCAACAGTACTTGTACTGTACGCTAAGTGGGTTTCTCATTCAAAGACAAGCAAGGCTGCACATTCTGCATGCTTACAGAAAACACATCTGGTCTCTTGATCACTTATTTATGTCTGCTGTCAGCATAAACTGCATAAATGTTTCAACATGTCAGGAGAAAAAGAAAGGAAAAAAAAACAGCAGACACTTTGGTTAGTGCTTATTGTTTTTGAACACCCTCCCTGTAAACAAGTGTAGGCCTATATATGTGTTTGATGCAATGCTGAGTCTTAACTAACAAAAGATGAAGACACTAAAACACAACAATATCTTTCCTTCCATACTGATACTTCCCCTTTCAATTCAGTTCAGGAGTGTATTAGATATCAAATTGAAGCATGTTGAAATTTTTATACCACAAAAAATAGATACACATTTATTTATTTATTTATTCATTTATTGTTTACCATTTGAATCAAAAATCTGTTGATCGACTCTGGACTATTCAGAACTCAGCTGTCAGGGTTTCAACCGGAACCAAAAAATAGTTTTGGTGTGATTAGCTCAGGTGAATTTTTGCTAAAACACTTTAGTTTCAAAGTCATTAGAGTTCAAAGATTTGGTGAATCAGAGGCATGACTAACTTGACTGACAGATGAGCAGGCTGTAGCTATCTGTGAGGAGGCTAGTAGGACTGAGATGGCGACTGCAGCCAATACGCTTCGAAACTCTGCTTCAAAAACAAATAGGTGATGTCAACACTGTTGAATCCAGTTAAAATACAATCTATGGTTGTTTGGGTTTTGAGGCAGGCGCCCTTTAAGCTTTAAAGTTCAAGCTCAAAACGTTTCAATTTGATGAAGTCTGAGGCTTTATCAGCCTCCTTGCTTCGACCTGGTACCAAATCTCTGCCCCCTTGTCTCTATCTTTTTCTGCATGCATTGTGTTCATTACTGTAAACTTTTTATCTGTCAGTGGTGGGCTGTCAGGGCAAGGCCTTCTTTGCTGGCCTAATCATACTCAGAAAAGTACATTTATTTATTTATTTTTCATAAAATGTAAATATGATTGTTCTCTAATGTGTGTTCACTTTATGTTTTATGATATCCACTTAGTTGAGCTGCTTCCAATGCTGTGTATTATGATAGAATTTCTTATCCAATCATATCCAATTCATAACACCTTAATGGACCATAGGGCCAATGGTGGTGGACAGCTCATGTCTCTTTACTGCAAGACAGAAAGCTTCAGAAGATCTTTTGTACCTACAGCCATCAGACTGTACAACTCTTCTGTAAATAGTAGAAGACTTTTTGACACATGACAACTGAGACTACAGACAATTGAATTCCCCTTTGGGGATAAAATACAGTTATTCTTATTCATATGTCAGCTAGCTTGTGTTGTCAGGTGCTATGAAATCTTCTGAGGCCCTTCAGAATCAACAGAGCAGGCTCCTGTGTGCTCTAAGTGAACAGACACAATCAGACCAATCAGATCTTGAGTCCACGACACCAAGGCCTGCTAAAAGGTTGTACACTGAACTGGACATGTACGTGTCCTGTGACGGGATAAGCACTTGTGAAAACCTGAAAGGTGGTACTTTGCAAAACATCTAACTAAATCCAGAGATCCGTTAGCTACCAACAGCTATCACTATATTTGGGCTGTGTAGAAACACGACCTTACAGACACGGTTTTCAGCATTAGCCTCCTTGACTATTGAAAAAGACATATTGATGGAACTGAAACGGACAGATAAACTGTACAACAGAGCCATTGAAGTCTTCTTAAGAAAAGACAGGAGGATGGATTTTATTTTTGAATATGCAGGCCCTGTGGAGGAGATCCATATTGGTGAGTGCAAGCTTTACATTTTTAATGGCGACAATGTGCAATTTATTGGACAAATTTGTTTGAGCTGACATAGTGTACTTTTGGTGTCCTTTTGTTGACTAATATCTTAAAATCACCTTTTATTTTTGAGTTTTGACAGTATCTGTGATCTTAGTTCCCTACTCTTAACTGTTAACCCTCACTTAACTGTGTTAAGAGTAGGTTTTAAATGCATAGTTTGAAATGCTTCGAAAATTAAATGTTGCTCGACTTGCATATATTAAGGTGATGTAATGTGTAAGTGTGATTCTGATAGATTCTCAAGCTATGGTGTCATATTGATGGTATTATGAGGTTATTGTTTTTCATTATTTTATTTTTCTGCATTTTTCTGTCAGACTTTTGGAGCCCATCTCATCATGGCAGATAATTGGTCAGTAATAAGTGTAGTTATGCTCAAAGTAAGTGCTGAGCAGCATCAAGCCTCAGTGCCTGACCTGTGACTTCCACACTGAGGTATACATGCTGATAGCACACCACGTGGCTAGCTGTGGACAGTATACACGCACGCACACACACAGTACACTGTACTGCTTCCACAATCACACATCTATAAGTGCACACAATGGAGTGAGGTAAAACAGAGAGAGACACGCACACAAACACGACATGAGCTCTTGGTATCAAAGCAGGTACCGCTGAGTCCACTGACAGTCTAATAAATCTGATGTCAGAGGCCCTGAACCCGCCAACAGTACAGAGAGGGGAGAAGACCATGTTGGACTTTTTAAAACCCTCCATGGGAAGAACTGTTCACCACAAAATCTGCTTTAGATACATTTCCTCCACATCTCTAACTATGAATCTATTCTGAGACCCACAAATTCACCAAATTAGTATGTAATTTATTTCATGTTTAAAGGAGACCGACCAAGTCTTGTCTTGTCTGTAAAGCATCACAAGGCATCATAATGACACTACAGAAATGCATGTAACTATGATCATATTACAGTAAAGTTTAAATGGTGCTCATGAGTGCTTCATATGATGTATGGCAATTATCCTGATCAGCAAGATGAGACAAACAGGATCAGAGAGTTGAACACAACGGTATGACTACATTGACATTAGATTACTGGATTTGTACAGTGAGTATGATTACTGTGCTGCAGGAAATATTTCACATTACTCGTCATGAAACGAATTTGATCTGGTACAAAAAAAATCTTGTATTCAAATGCTTTCCATCATTTTACTTTAACAGTTTGTATCACATGACAGAATTTTTTACTCAGGGAAGAGATGTTTTAAACAGTGTTCCACTTCCTGTTTTAACTGAAAACTATTTTATATACAATATATACATTTATATATTTTTTTTTATATATACAAGAAATATGCAGCAGTAAATTCCCTTAATAAATTATTAATACTTCATTATTGTATATCCAATATTTAAAGCAAAGCAGTTCAATGTCCAATCAGTGTCAATTTGGATTTCAGCCGATCATGGTTAATGTGACTTCATTGCACTTTTCATGAGTTTCAGTTCCTTGCTTGTTCTGCTTTCTCTGTTTCATACAGGTCCTGCACATATCAATCTATTGTTCCTCACAATAGTAAGGTATATCATTATAGTACACCAATGCATTGGCATGTTTTATCCACAGTTTTGTGAAAACTCACGGACACTCAAATAGTGCTCTGTGAAATATAGCGTCTAAAAGCACAGTGGTGTCACTATTTTTTAGCATGATGGCAACAGGAACAGGGTTGATGAAGATGCAGTTCTGTATGCAGTGTGCCCAATAACAATGGTTTTCAAGTGTACACAAAAAGTAAATGGATAAACAAGATACTATGCAGCGAGGTGGAATGGAAACAGAGATATGGAAGAAGAATAAGCAAGAATCATAAAAGGCACAATCAAATGATGAATATAAAACCAGGTTTATCGACTCACTCAGTCCAGTGACTGCAAGCTTCACAAATGTCTATTCTTATTAAAACCTTGTTTTAGCAGCTTTGGCTCAATGGAGGCTTTGAGACAGAGCTGTAACAGTACATATAAAACTGTAAAAAAAAAACAACAAACAGGAAAGGAAGCTCAAATAACTCAAAAACCTGTGGCAAAATCCACAGCCCAGAGACATCCAACTGTAGGCATCAGGGCTATTTCTCTTCTTGCTCCTTGTTAATTTTGTGTTCAAATTGCTAAACCCTCAGATGCATGAGTGACTGGACACAACATTTCAAGAAAGCCTAAAAAGGAGCAACCAAAATAAACTATACATTATGCATAAAAGTTCAGTTTTCTACTTTTCAATTTTGCATACATTTGA